TTTGGGGACAGGATTTGATTGAGGGGATTTCGGGGAGCGGGAATGGGGGGAGGATTTTGGGGATCAGGATTTGGGGAGGCGGGATTTGGGCTGCAGGAATTGGGGGAGAAGGATTTGAGGGAAAGGATTTGGAAGATCAGGATTTGGGGAGCGGGATTTTGGGGGGGTGAGATTTGGGGACAGAATTTTGGGTGCAGGATTTGGGGACGGAATTTTGGGGTGGAATTTGAGGGAGAGGATTTTGGGGATCAGGATTTAGGGCAGAATTTGAAGGAGAGGATTTGGGGGTGAAATTTGAGGGAGAGGATTTGGGAGGGTGAAATTTGGGGGCAGGATTTTGGAACGGAATTTGGGAGCAGGATTTGAGGGAGGGGATTTGGGGGAGCGGGAATGAGGGAGGATTTTGGGGATCAGGAATTGAGGAAGAGGATTTGGGGGCAGGATTTTGGGGATGGGATTTGGGGGCAGGATTTTGAGGTCAGGATTTGGGGAGGCGGGATTTGGGCTGCAGGAATTGGGGGAGAAGGATTTGAGGGAAAGGATTTGGAGGATCAGGATTTTGAAACGGGATTTGGGGACAGGATTTTGGGTGCAGGATTTTGGGTTAAGATTTGGGGGAGCAGGATTTTGGGGACAGAATTTTGGGGTGGAATTTGAGGGACAGGATTTTGGGGAATCAGGATTTGAGGGAGAGGATTTGGGGGGTGGAATTTGGGGACAGGATTTTGGGATAGGATTTGTGGGACAGGATTTGGGGACAGGATTTTGGGGATCAGGATTTTGGGGATCGGGATTTGTGGGACGGAATTTGGGGAGAGGATTTTGGGGATCAGGATTTTTAGGACAGGATTTGGGGACAGAATTTGGGGATCAGGATTTTGGGGATCAGGATTTGTAGGACAGGATTTGGGCAGTCCCTGCACCCATCCCTGCCTCAGTTTCCCCACGCACGATCCCAAACCGGCTCATTTTGGGGTCCCCTCCAAAGGGAATCAGCCTGGGGAAAACCCCACAGCCAAGGGATTTTTCCAGGATGGAATTCCCTATTTTCACCTCTCATTCCCACAGCTGGAATAATTAGAGGATAATTACCATATTTAATTAATATTACGGGGTTAATTGATAATTTTGCTAATATTTAATTAGCTTCCCTACGGCTGATTAATTAACTCGTTGGGAATTAACGAGCCCTGTGGACCTGGAGAAAAATCCCGGAGTCAGGAATCGAACCCAACAGCGAATTCCCTGCTCCAAAAAAAAAAAAAAAAAA